GGAACAGCTGCTGGGGGGCCGGCCGCTGCGGGCCTGGGAGGCTCCGAGCAGTAGGGGGGGGGGCGTGTGTGTGTGTGTGTGTGTGGTGCTGGCCCAGCGGCGGTGCAGGGGGTCCGGGCACGCACGGGGTTATCAGACCCCATGTTTGCCCTGCTCATGGAGGTGGTGCTGGTTCCAGTGGCTGCTTCAATGCGACCCTACAATAACAAACCCCCAGGAGACTGAGTCGCTCCTTGTCTCACCCCTCCCCCTTCGTCCCCCCCCCCCCTCCGAAATCACTCTTTTCCTGGACCAGCCCTGAGGCCCGGGGTAGCTCCTGGATTGTAAGCAAGCTCCCTTCTCCCCAGTGCCCTGAGTCTCTCTCCCTTCCCTGGCCCCCAGCCTGAGAATCTTGAATCCCTGAAGGAACCAAATAGAAAAGGGACTGGGGGGAGGGAAATTCTTTTTTTTTTATCTTCCCTCCCTCCCAACGCAGGATCTGTTCTCTGTGTCTATATTTACCAACCAGAGGATGTTTTTTCCCCCTGTTTTTTTCTGTTTAGTGACAAGATTCATTGAAACATTGGGCTGGCTCGAGAAGTCAACCTAGACCTAGGTGTTTGTCTAACTTTGTCTAATTATTTCTTCCGTCCGATGCTTCCCCAGAAGGGATCAGGCAGGCCGAACGCAAGAGGGTATCTCCTGTTCACCACCCTCTTTCCTTTCCTTTAAAAAGAACAGGAGTACTTGTGGCACCTTAGAGACTAACAAATTTATTAGAGCATAAGCTTTCGTGGACTACAGCCCACTTCTTCAGATGCATATAATAAATTTGTTAGTCTCTAAGGTGCCACAAGTACTCCTGTTCTTTTTGCGGATACAGACTAACACGGCTGCTACTCAGAAACCTTTCCCTTCCTTTGCCATCAGTAATATCCTTTGGCACTGAGTTCCACAGGTTGATTATATGCTTTAAACATAGTGCTTTTTTAAAATTAGAACTGGAAGGAAGTTTTCCAAGTGCATGTTTTTTTGCTGGAAAATGCCGATTCATCGACCGCTTGTGGAAACAAGTCGATCTTGATGAAATTTTGTTTGGAGGGGGAAAAATGGAGGGAAAATCCACATAAAATTTCAGTTTTCCGTTAATGAAATGACTCCTTGGTATCTTTACATTTTATATTCTGTAATCCAGTGTAATACATTTAAAAAGTCAAAATCTCAATGAAATGAAAAAAAATTATTTGCAGAACTGTGTGTAATCAGAAAATAAATCAAAATCCTGGAATTTCCAGCCCAAATGGAAAATTCAGTCCTACTTTTAGCTACCTGATGCCCCCGCTGCTAATATTAGGAGAGGGTAAACAGAAGCTCCTTACTGACCTGCTCCGAACCATTCCTTGTTTTACATTTCCCTGTTCCCATGCGGATCATATTGACCCCCTTTAAGAGTTGCTGATGAAAAGTGCTAGAAGAGCAAGGAATGATTATCCATCTGACATCAGTGAACCAAAGGGCCTATCAATTTCAAACGCAGCTTCATTTTCTTCTGTCAGGGCTGGTGGCCTCAGACCATCCGAGGCTGGTGATTCATGTGATTTCCAGCACATGCTGTGCAGATGGTTTTCTGTCTATTACAGACCACTGCTGGAGTGGGACCTTTGCATAGAGAAGTCGGGTAAGTCCTGGTGGGGTTTTTAGTGAGGAGTGTCATCTGGTTTGGTACCTCATAGTTCTTGGATGGGCCACAAGGCAAATCCCATCCTTTCCTAGTTGTTAAGAGAAAAATTATTTGCCTTGATGTCCTAACCAAATTCCCTAAATATCCCCTAACTCCTTGTCCTCCAGTTTCAGTTGAACATAACATTATTATTTATTTTTTACTTCCTGTTCTAATCTGTGGGGCAGTGTTGCTGTGCAAATAGTCTCGGTGCTCCACCCTAGAGGTGGCTGCATTTCAGTGATGAGTTGAAGTGAGGACATTTAGGTTATTGTTTTGTGGCTAGAGCCAGTACCTCTGTACAATGGTGCCAATGGCACGGAGGTGCTGGGCCCACTCTCAGAAGGGTCCCCGGTGCCTGGATCGAGCGCGGGCAGAGCCTGGGGGGGAAGAGGCCAAGAAGGGGCGGGGCCTTGTGGCCAAGGCCTCAGGGGAAGAGACTGAGCGGGGGCAGGACCTCAATGCCAAAGCCTCGGGGGAAGAAGCCAAGTGGGGGGGGGGACCTCGGAGGAAGAGGCCGAGTGGGGGTGGGACCTCAGGGCCAAGACCTTGGGGGAAGGAGTTGAGGCCTCGGGGGAAGGGGCCGAGCGGGTGGCAGGGCCACGGTCCAGGCACTGGGGCCCACAAAAGATTAATCCAGCCCTGGCTAGAGCACATCTCTCTGCAGTTCTGCTAGTTCGTTAGTGAAACTGACACAAATACTTGCATGCTGGGGTGAAGAGTGCATTGAAATGATCCCACAAGTGTGAGATGAAACTGAACAGGCTGATCTAATATCTCCACCTCTGTTCACTTCCAGCCCGTTTTGCTGTAGTGGCTGTCCCTGACGATCTGAGTGGATCTTCCCGGTACACCATGGCACGGCATAGCAAGCTCCAGAAGCAAGTCTTAAGCTTGTACAGACAGTTCCTACGAGCCGGCAAAGAGAAGCCGGGGTTCTTACCTCGGATACAGGCCGAGTTCCGGAAGAACGCCAGCATCCCCCGGATGGATGTTATGCACATAGAGTATCTCGTCCGCCGCGGCCAGAGGCAGCTGGAGCAGCTCAGAGACGTTAACACGAAACAAATGGGCACCTTTGTCAAAACCAAGCCGGAAGAGCGGTGACCCCTGCTGGCTGACGTAGGCGGCTTTCTTGTACTGGGACAGTTAGCGTGTGAATTCAGAGACGTGCCTTCCAGATTCTCACATCCTCGTGCGCCCCTTTCTGTTTGCACATGGGTCCGATCACAGTGAAGGAAAACTATCCAGTCGGTGCAATTGTCCTACCTGGATTGGAGTTCACTGGGATAAATGAAGCCTGGTTTAGGTGTCTCTACATGAGGGAGCCACTAGAGGGTGCATTGGAGAAGCTGATCTCTATAGTTCTAAGCTTTTTAATAATTCAAGTGTAGATGGATATCTGGAGGTGACGTTCTTGTTTCCAATACCTGGGACATAATCCGTTCCTACCCCTGTTGCCTCCTCTATTCTCAAACAGGCAGATTACCCAGAAAAATAAAAGAAAGGGACAGTGGTGGGTTGAAATTCTATTTCTGTCATTTTTCTTATTATCTATAGTGCCTAAAAGCCCCAGTCATGGACCAGGCCCCCACTGCGCTAGGTGCTGTACAAACAGTGGATCTGGGTGCTACAATTCTTGAGTGCCCCACCAAAGTGCCTTCGAGGGATCAGAAAGAGCCAAGCACCTGCCTTTTGAAAATCGGGTTCCTTAAGGTGTCTCATGACGGGCGGCTCCTTCCCCGCAACCCAAAATCACTACCCACTTCTGAAAATAAAGGCCTTTGGGCCAAGGTGTTTTCCAGGGTGTACCAGCTGTGTGTGTGTTGGCAGGCGAGTTTCCCGCATGTGTCTCCCTCCCCCAGTGTAACTTGGCTCTGCCATGGAGGGACCATGTCTAGGCCTGAGAGGCTATTAGCGAGGGGTGGCTGGCTTGCTTAGCCCTGGTTTAAACTTAATAGTTTTATGGCTGTAGCTACCCTCGTCGAACCCTCCTAGCGTAGACGCAGCTTATCCCACCGAAGTGCCTTTGCCGGTGAGAGCTTATTACCAGTGCAGCGAGTGAAGCGAGCTCTCGATTCACAGAGTTTAAGGCTGGAAGCAACCAGTGGATCATAGAACTGGAAGGGACTTTCCGGGTCAGCAAATATAGTCCGAACCCCGTCATATAACCCCGGTCAAAAACTTACTGAGCTCCGTTGTCAGATAGGGTGACCAGATGTCCTGATTTTATAGGGACAGTCCAGATTTTTGGATCTCTTTCTTATATAGGCTTCTATTACCCCCCACCCCCTGTCCCGATTTTTCACATTTGCTGTCTGGTCACCCTATTGTCAGATCAGGTCGATTGTTTGCCCTCAGCTCCTAGTGGGAGGCTGTTCTCTCTCCTCTGATGGTTATAAACCACCTGGTTTCCAGCCTGAACTTATTCCTGGCCAGTTTCTACCCCTTTGTCTGACCTCTAGATCACAAGCCATAAAATGTCACCTAATTACCCCTGTGTTGAGCCCAATAACTTGTGTTGGACTAAACCATCTTCCAGAACGGCCCCTGGTCCTTAGATGGAGAATCCAGCATTTCCCTTGGAGGATGGTTTCATTATTAAGAAATTGCACCTTATTCCTAGCTTGGATTTGTCCGGTTTCAGTGTCCAGCCATCGGTTCTTGTTCTGTCTTTCTCTAGCTGAAAGAACCCTTTAGGACGTGCTCTTTTTCTCCTCACGGAGGTACCGTTACACTGCGATCCAGTCTCTCATCATCAGGCATTTTCTCCAGCCCTTGAAGTATTTTGATGGCTTTTCGTTGCACCCACTCCAATTTTGTCACTTTTCTGCCAGTATAACTGTGTCTACACTGGGGTTCTTGCAAAAAAACAAAACCCCCAATCGCCATTGTGAGAGTAGCAAAAGTTAGTCGCGTCGCTCTGGCCTTATTTATAGATCTATTCCTTATCCAAAGGACGTCCCATCCCGCAGTGTGAAAACGTTCCAGGGAGCTAAACCCAGCCCCACAGTGCTATGAAGCTGGTGATCTGTGTGTCCTCAGATTGGCAATTGCAGTGAATTCTTGCTGCCTTGAAGATGATTTTACTGCCACTGGTGGCTTGATTCTCTGAAAGAGCAAATCGCTTTGGTTCTCTAATGTGCCAGTCCTCTGAGTCCTTCGGCATTTACAGTCCACACTATGGCTAGACTCCGCTGCAGCCCCTAAAATCATAGAAATGTCAGGCTGGAAGGGACCTGCGGAGATCGTCACGTCAAGCCCCCTGTGCTGAGGCAAGGCCAAGTAAACCCAGCCCAGCCCTGACAGGGGTTCGTCCAGCCTGGTCTTAGAAATCTCCAGTGACGGGGATCCCACATCCTCCCTTGGGAGCCTGTTCCGGAGTTTCACTCCCCTGAGAGAACATTTCCCCTAACATCTCACCTAAATCTCCCTCGCTGCAGATTAAGCCCGTTTACATCTTGTCCTCCCTTCAGCGGACATGGAGAACAGCTGATCACCAGCCTCTTTATAACAGCCGTTAATGTATTTGACGACTGCTCTTGGTCTCAGTCTGCTTTGCTCCAGACTAAACACGCCCAGTTTTTTTAACCTTTCCTCCTAGGTCAGGTCTTTGAAACCCTGGATCCTTTTTGTTGTTCTCCTCTGGGCTCTCCCCAATTTGTCCACGTCTTTTCCTAAAGTGTGACACCCAGAATTGGACACCGCACTCCAGCTGAGCAGGACAATTACCCCCCGTGTCTGACATGCCACTTCTCTTAATACACCCCAGGACGATGTCACCTTATTAAAGGGGTTTGTGTCTGAAACCGCTTCTCTCTAAGATGCTGTGATTTGTGTTTCTCCACCTGAACCGTCTCTCGGATCTTGTTACGACTTGAATGTGCACGTCACAGTTCACCGCCCTGCCTGCACCTTGGACACTGCC